AGCATCATGGATGAGACAAAGTTATCTAGTACATCTGAATCATCAGAATGAGTGTTTACTTTTAATGAGTGATGTAAAGGCAAAGATATCATGGTCTTGAAAAGAAGGCATGCGGACCTTCTGCAAGTAGAGGAAATAATAAGATTTAATTGGAATTAAGGTTCGTTAGTTTTGCCTTTCTCAAGAGTGCTGCTTGAATGCTGTCTGCTGACTAAATGATTTCAATACTTTCTCTAGGTTAACACTTTGTTAAAATCACCTACATTTACCATTTATAAATTTGTTACAGTTTCCTTGATATCCTAGGCAAGATCCATCAAGCCTTAATTGGCATGATTTGCCCAGAGCAAATTTGGATCATGCTACTCTTTATTTTGTATGAATGTGATACAGAAAACTTTGTAACAACTGGAGGTAGAAGCGTAAATCCTTGCAGCAAATCACAGGAACATACCTTGTTCTGTGCCCTTTACTAATAACATGTTGAAAGCTCTCATGTATGGCTTCTATCAAAAGTTAGGAACATACTAGCATTATAGAATTGATAAAATTTATGAAACCTGATGCTTTCCTATGATACATGATTTGTGGAAGACTGTAATTCAGTGTTAGGAATTTTCAGTGCTCAGATAAATGTGCCAACAGTCAGGATGTCTGATATACAAAGGACTTATGATGCAGTTAAAATAGAAGGCACATGCTAATGGGAAAGCACAACAGATCTGTAAATTTAATGTTAAAATTTGTTAACCATAGTCACAAAACTAGATGTAAGAAAGAGAAGGACTGCAGAAACTTGAGAAAGATCATCAAGCTGAATTTGCATTGGAATATGACCAGTTAGGGAAGTACAGGCTAAAAGAGAGAAAGAGTTTTTTCATTGTTTTTAGAGAAGGCATCTTGTAGCACTAATGTTCCATGGAAATGGAGGCCCAGTAGGTCCATGTCTCTCTTGCACTGGGGAGCCCTGAACTGGACACAGCACTCTAGACATTGTCTCACCAGTGCTGAGTAGATGGGATCACCTCCCTTGACCTGCTGACAACACTTTCTAATACAGCCCGGGATGCTGTTGGCCTTCTTTACTGCAAGTGCACATTTCTGGCTTATGGACAACTGTGTGGCCAGAACCTCCAGGATATTCTCTGCAAAGCTACTTTCCAGCTGGTTGGCCCCCAGTCTGTACTGGTGTCTGGGGTTATTCCTCCAAAGGTGCAGGATTCTTCATTTCCCTTTATAGAACTTCATGACAATCCAGTGGGCCCATTTCTCCAGCCCCTTGAGAACCCTCTGAAGGGCAGCGCAATCACCCGGTGAACTAACCGCTC